TACACCTTGCCAAGTGAAGATGGTGCAGATATTTAAGAATGACATAGTGGGCAGAGACGTGATCCAGTTTTTATGGCAGTATGTGGGAGCAGGGTGCCACCCTTACAGAAGGGGTATCTCTATGCAGGATTAGGCCAGGCTTGCAGCTGGACAAGTGAGGCAGGGGAAGCTAGTAGTAAACTCTGGGGCCCTCTGTTTCTGTTTACTTCCCCCTCAACCCATGAATATTTTTAACCTCTCAAGGCCTCTCCATAGTTGGGGGTCAAAGCAATAGCCTAACCAGTTTTCTGTTACAGAGCTCAGTTTTCTAAAACTATTTCCTGAGGCCCAAGGACAGTCTGGATCAGGCCTAGAGGCTACAGAACAGCTCAAGGCCAAGTGATTAAGGAGGACTCCATGGTTTGAGCCTCCAGATTTCAGTACATGGTGTTCAGAGGAGCAGAGGTTGAAGGACTGGTTTTCTATCAGATAAAAGGCAAGGTCCCTATATAGGTATTGAAATATTCTCTTGCATTTGAAGTTACTGTCATTTAAAAGTAGATAAGAAGAAGAAAAAAAAAGAAAAATGTGAGAAAAAATAGTAATATAACTACATTCGAAATTCACATATGTAACTGATGACATGGTATTTCCAAATGTACATTTCTCATAAAATCATAGAATATCCGCTTGGGAAGGGAGCTGGGAAGACCATCTAGTTTGGCCCTCTTCATTTTTCATATGGGGAAACTGAAGCCCAGAGATGTGAATAATAATAATCCTAATGATACCACCATCACTACTACTGCAATAACAATACTAATGATTCTACTACTACTACCACCACCTTCATCCTTAAGTCTTTGTTACCTTAACATCGAAACTGTAAAGAAAACAGAGAATATGATTAGGATGTTCTGTATTAGGATTATCCTTTGCCTCTGACCCACAGATCTCAGATTGTACTAAAAAGCAGACATAATACAAGTTGGGGGCAGCTAGGTGGTGCAGTGGATAGAGCTTTGGTCCTCATCTTTGGAAGTTCAAATCCAGCCTCAGACATTTCCTAGCATGTCATCAATTACATATGTGAGTTTTCAATGTAGTAGAGTTTGCTGTGTTGGGAAAACTGTAGATGTTGCCAGTAGACTTGGTGAGGGTACTAGTTTTTGCCACATTGATCCTTGTTTGTTCCCATTTCTGTTAAGTGGCACTTAGAGACAAGTAGTATCTCACTTTAAAAGAATATTCTGAACACAAAATGCAGATTTCCCAAAAATTGTATTAATATAAATGTGGGCTATTCTTCTCCCCTTCCCCAAGCTGGTTTGTATACATCTGTGTATTATACCCCCTTTCCAACCTTCCAATTTTCACAATATTTTTATTTTTTATGCGGTGATTTTTGGTTAGGGTTGCCGTGTCCTAAGACTTGTTCACGTTGTGGCTAGTCTGTCAGTAATGAAATTTTCTGAACTTGGCTAGGATGGTCCAGGCCCAATTTATCATTGAGGACACCCTTGAAGCATTTCTAGCTTGGTGTAAGAGTCACTGGTGTTTATACTCCATTGGCACAGCTTTTGAGAACCTAGAATCTCACTGAACCTCCAGATGAAGCAGTTGAGGTTCAGAGCATTGATATCTTCCCAGAGGTGCACAGTCAGTAGCAGAAGTGGGATATGAACATTGATCCTTTGGCTCCAAAACCAGTGTTTTCCACTGTTCGTTGGACTGGCCTCCTTAGAGTTCCTAGCACACATCATCCTATCTGTGAATGTTCTCATTGGTTATACTTTGTGTGTCAGGAACATTCTCCTTCCTCATCTCCACCTCTTTGCTTCTCTGGCTTCTAAGTGTCAGCTGAAGTCCTACCTTCTGTAAGAGGCCTTTTCTAGTCCTCCTTAATCTTAATGCCTTTCCTCTAAGACTAACTCCAGTTTTTCCTGTGTATGGTTTGTTTGTACATTATTCCGGGAGCTTCTTCAGAGCAGGCATTGTCTCTTACCATTTTTTTTTATCTCCAGGTTTTAGCACAACCCAGGTGAGTGTCATTCTTGACTCCTTCCTCTCTCTCCTCGCCTTATATCCAGTTAGTGGTCCTGTCATTTCCACCTCTGTGAAGTCTCTTACAGATGGCTCCTTCTCTCCTCTGACACTGCTGCTTCCTTATTTCATACTTCATGACTATTGCAGTAACTGGCTGGTTGGTCTCCTTTGCCTCAAATCTCTCTCCACTCCAAATCTCTCCTGTCTGCTCAGCTATCAAATTGATCTTCCTAAAATGTAGAACTGATGCTATCACTCCTCCTTACTTCCATATTTGTAAATATGGCTCCCTATTACCTCCAGGACCAAATAGAAAACCCTCTGTTGGACTGTCAAAGGCCTTCATAACCAGGCTTCTATTGCCATTGCAGTCTTCCCCTCCATGTAGTCTACAGTGTAGTGACACTGGCCTCCTTATTGTTCCTCACACAAGGTGCGCCTTCTTCTGATGGTGGTGTTTTCATTGGCTGTACCACATGCCTGGAATGTGCTCCCATTTCATTTGCACCTCCTGACTTCCCTGACATTCTTTAGGTCTCATCTAACCCCCATCTTGTGCAAGAAGCTTTGCTCAGTCCTCCTTAATCATAGTACCTTTCCTCTAAGACCACCCCCATTTGTTCCCCATATAGCTTGTTTGTACATAGTTGTTTATATGTTTGCCCCTCCCCCCCATTAGACTTGTGAGCGCCTTGAGAGCGGGACTTTTTTTGCCTTTATTTACATTCCCACTGTTTTCAGTGACTGACACTTAGTAGGTGCCTCATATATGCTAGTTGACAGACCAGTAGAAAGCACTACAGAGATGTGAGTTATAAATGCTGACACATTTGTATATCTGTCTTGGAAATTCAAGAGCAAGCATCCCAGCGTGGATAATTACTCTGAGAAATTATGTTTGATTTGCATCTGATCACAGATAGCAATTTCAGCTTTATAGTTTCTGAGATGACTGAAGTGAAGACAACCATGGTATCCCTAAATCAGCTGTGCTTGCTTTCAAAGGGCCATTCAGTCCCAAAGACTTTTCTTGAATACCTAATGTTTTGTGTATTAGATTCAAAATCAAAGGACATGTAGATCATTAAGCCAAGTAACTAGAAGCTCAGTTCTAGTTGGCTGTCTGTAATGAGATGTTTGATCTTGGACAGGTCTGCTAGATTCCTTGTGCCTTAGTTTCTCCTTTAACTGGTTCAGTTGGAATAATAGTTGTCAGGAGAAGCCTTAAAGTTAGACATAAACTTGGGTATATATAGTATGCCATACCAGATTGCAAATCATCCAAGTAATGAGTAAGTAAATACTAAATATCTACTGTGTACAAGGTACTGTGATAGACATTGTAGGGGAGACAATGAAGTATAGTTATAACTGACATTTAATTGGTACTTGATATGCAGCCTGGCATAGTGGATTGAGAACGGGTCTCTGAGTCAGAATCTACACTTGGATTTCAGTTTTCCCTCTGATTCATAGTGGCTCTGTGTCCTTCCACCAGTCACATAATTAGCAACACAGTCAACTTTCTCACACTGCAAATTATAGAGAAGGTCCTCATTTGCATTGGTAGAGGGAGTTTCCACACTGGGATTTCTCTGTCAATATTACAGATGCAGTTTAAAAAAAAAAGGCTAGGATGGTATTCACGATTATTCAGTGTTTTCCAAAGTTTTTTCTTCCATTCTATTTCCAGGCTAGTTTTCCGGATTTCAAGCCTAGCCAACCTTCTACTATACCATATATGGATAGCATTCTTTCTTACAGTCTAGTTTGGTTGAACAGTCACAAACATCTTGGCAATTAATACCAGAATATAGGGGGGAAATGGAAGAGTTGCCATAGGATAGAATACCTGCTGAAAGTTAAGAGGATGGTGAGTTTCCTGATGGCTAGAAAGGAACTAAGCTGACCTGTGGGGTTTGGATAGGATGAGGGAGAGTGTGAAAAAAGTTATCGACAGAGAGAACATAAAAGTGATTTGTAGGGGATAATGAGGTGGTCGCCCTGACTGGATTAGTGATTTTTATGTATGAAAGTAGTGGGAAAATGGCCAGAAAACTAGCTTGGTGGTGGGGAGTGGGGGACCAAGATTGCAGGGATCTTGAATTTCAGGGTAAGGAGTTTGAACTTGACCCGACCGAAAAAAGATTTCTGACTATACTTTTCTCCTCCTGATATAAATCTTCCTGAGTGGCTATGGCCAAAACATTCATCATCTGTTAGCCAACTTTCTGTGAAGGTAGCTAGGCTAGTCCTGGGATGATCAAGGTCATTACTGGGTCCTTATTTGAAGTTTGTCCAGCTTGTTGTAGGACCTGTTGGAACTTGTAACCTGTGGCCTAGAGGGTTGAGGATTATCGTCTTTCCTGATGAGGCATTACAGTAGGGGAAAAGAACCCTCTAAACCAGAAACCATGCTTTCTATTTCCTAAATAGCCTTTAGATACAACTTTGCTTTGTTTTTTAAGTTGTTTTTTTTTTTTTTAATTTTGAATTAAGAAAGCATGAGGCAGCATAAGCATAATGTTACAGAGAGAATCCAAGTCCCTTCACCTCCCTGGGCCTTGGTTTCCTTTTTTACAAAATGAGGAGGTTGGACTAGTTGTTCTCTGAAGTGCTGCCAGGTTCTAAATCTGTGATCCTCTGGGGTTGCAGATGTTATTTTAAAAAGGGCAGTGGTTACCTTTTTCATGTACTGGCTCTTTAAAGGTACCCAGCCTATATAAGCCTCTAGTTCCCTAATGTGCAAAAAACTGGAGGATGGAGCACTCCCTCCAGATGGAGAGCCAGGAAGGCATCCTGACTATTTCCTCTCAGTCTGGGTCCTCTCCCAGCTTTCCGGCTTTCAGGAGTGTGGGGGGGAGATGACCCGATGCCAGCAGACGAACACAGTTTCCCTTGCTTGGTCCCCAACTCCAACCATCAGCCTTCCAGGATGACCTCACTTGGATCTCTGCCTTCTGTTTGTTTTGGAGGTGCTGAGAAGTCCGTCACGTGGCTTTCACGAGTTTGCTCGTCATCATTGGTGGAGGGCCATGGATGCCAGCCACGTGAGTAGCCTCTGAGTGGGGGGGAGGCACTATGAAACATTCCCCAGCCATGAGCCCCAGGGCAGAGCTGGGGAGAGAAGGAGGGGAGAAGAAATCGGAAAAGGAGGGGAGATTGCTTTCATTCCTGCCATCTGACTAAGATTGGCCTGGAGTCCATCCTGGCAGGGAATTTTCCTGGAGGAAGAGAGGGCTGGGCTTGGGGGGGGCTGAATCAGGCTTGTGACAGCTTGCCATTTCTAATCCCGCTTTAAAGAGAATCACCGGAAGAGAAAGGTCTGAGTCAGAATCCATGAAAACACTGAACACATTTGTCTGCCTTAATGTTCCCTGCTGACTAATGTTACCCAGAATGTTACTGAGACACATAGTCCTCTGTGTGCTGGGTCAGAGAGGAAAAATGTGACACTTTTTTTTTTCCCTCTTGAGTCTTTAAAATTGGCAGAGGGCATGACCCTGTGTCCCGTTTGCCACCCCCAGTTTTATTTCTTCCCCATCCTGTCCATTTGCTGAGACTTAGAGGATTACACATCCCTCAGGGACACATGCCACATTTTTTCTAGCCTTAACCTGCCTTGTAGCATCTTCTCTGTCCCTTTGAAAATCAGTGTCTGACAGTGTAGCTCAGCCTGGCAGATTGAGTGGGAAAGGAGCCAGGCCAGTGGTTAAACAGGCTTTAGTCTGAGTGGTAACTTGGTATTGAGGAGGAAGGGGAATAAACCAAAACTGTTCCCAAGAGAGAACAGGACAGAGTTAACAGGCAGAGGAAAGTCCTGTTCTTAAAAACAAGATTTCTACATAAGGTAGGGGCTCTTTGGAACTTGGAGTGATGACCAGGGGCATATAGGGGCCTTTAAGGCCTAATGAGTAGATACACAACCACATTCATAGAATCATAATCTAGGTTAGACCTGGAAGGGACCTTAAAGTTCATTTAGTCCAGCCCCCTTTGTGAAGAAGTATCATAGAATCAGAAGATCTGGGTCTAAATCCTAGCTGACATTTACTAAACTGCTTACTGACAGGCAAGTCATGTTGTTTCCTTTGCTGTAAAATGGGGACAAGAATATTTCTGCCATCTACCTCACAAAATTGTTGTGATGATAGCATTTGTAAATCCTTTAAAAGCAATACTGTGGTTACTATTTCAAAAATTTGGATAGGCCTTTGTTGAATTGCTCTCACTTACATTTCTTAGGCATATGCCTCCCACTTCTCCCTCCCAGTGAACCACACCTTATAACAATTTAAAACAAAACAACCCTGACCTATCAAAAAATGTCTGATTTGCATGCAGTGTTCCACATTTGTGGACCCTCCCCTTTTCAGAAGACTGGAGGGTGGGGGATGTCTTTTTATATCTCTTCTTCAGGATCAGTTTTGGTTATAGTAATTTCACAGTATTGTTTTGATTATGTTGTTATTTCCATTTATATTATTCTCATCATTGTATGTGTTTTCCTCACCTTTCTGACATCACTGTCAGTTCAGAAAAGTCTTTCCATGTTTCCTTATTTTTCATCATGTTTGTTATTTTTTCAGTAGCACAGTAATTTTTTCAATATTATTTTTTTTTGAAGTACTCCTTAGATTATTGCCACAGATGGAGAAATAGGTCCAGAGATTAAAGTGACAAGGTCACATAGTATTTATCAGTTCCCAGACCCCCAAATTCCCACTTGGCTTTTTGCCGTTTCCTAATAAAGACAGCATTCATCAGTTAATTAAATTATCAGATTAAAGTTAAGACTATCTCCAGAGGCCCAGTCTATTAATTTACAAATCACTGATTGACTTTAGCCAGAGGGTGGACATTATTCATTATGGCCATTCTTTCCTTAACCTTGTTGGATAGATAGGGTTTGGCGTACCCTGAAAGGAAGGAAGCTCTTTCTGGTAGTGATTGTTGTAGTAGAAAGAATTCTGAGATTGGAAGTAGACTAAAGATTGGGATTTGAAATTTGGGGGGAGCATGACTTGAATCTGGCCTGGAAGTCAGGTGGAGACTTAGATGTGAGCAAGATAAGCCCTTCAGTTCGAGGCTAGGAAGGTTCTAGGGGTGGAATCAAGATTCTTCTTGGTGAAGAAGCAAAGATTATAGCCTTAGTGGAGGGAGACAGTATGGCGTAGACGTGACCTCCAAGTGAAGGAGGGGCTTAAATTGTAAAACATTTTCTTATAAATGTTAACTGTTATTGTAATTTCCATCCCCGAAGGGGGAAAATGATTGAGGGAGAAGTCTGGGTTGATCTACCATTGAATGAAAAAGCTGACCCGGGGGCCAGTGATGAGAAATGCTACATACCTCCTGACTGAGAGGCTATGATCTAATATGCATAATGAGGAACACATCTTTGGACATGGCCAGTGTGGGAATTTTGGAATAAGATGGGAGGGAGAAGAAATTAATGCTTTATAATTGAAAAAAATTTCAATTAAAAAAATTCATTTCGAAGCATAGAATATTGGAGGTGAGGGATCTTAGGACAATCAGTTTGATTCAGCACACATTTATTAGCTACATGGACGTTGCTGCATTGATATGTAAGACTAAAAGGGCAGAGTACTTGCGTGCCTTCCCCCCCCCAACAGCTAATATTCTAGGATATGTGAAGGGATCATAGAACATTAGAATGTTAACATTGAAAGAGTCCTTAAAGCTCATTGATCAACAACCATTTATTTAAGCACTTGTTACTTGCCTGTTCATCCCTAATGAGATCCCTTCATGTTATGAATAGGGAAACTGAAGTGCTTTTTTTTTATTAATTATAGTAAGCCTTGGAGCTGAAGAGATATAACAGTCTTGGAGGTGTCTTGAGTATGAGCCAAAGAAAGGGCATCTTCTAGGGTAAAGAAGGGGTTGGAATGGAGAATTCAAAGATTTTGTGATTCTGCCTGTATGAAAGCAAGTTCCTATCTGTTGTCAAAACTAAAGATTAGTAGAGTTTGTGAAGTGTCTTGCTAATAATGCTGATAGGCTATAGGAGGAGTATTTGATGAATGATTTGAGAGATAGTATGGTATAGACCAGAGTTCCAATCTTAGCCCAGGTCACATTGCTTAACTTTTCTGTACTCCACTTTCCTCTTCTATACAATAGAGAAAATACTATTTGCATTACCTATTCCTGCATGAATTTTTTAAATTAGTTTTTTTTTAATTATAAAGCACTATTTGTTTCCCTCCCATCTTACTTCAAAATTCCCACACTGATCATGTCCAAAAAATGTATTCTTCATTTTGCATGTTGGACCATAGCCTCTCTGTCAGGAGGTATGTAGAATTCTTCATCACTGATCCTGTCAATAAACATTTTTTAAGCACTCACAATGTTCCAGGCACTGTGCTAAGTGCTGGGGTATACAAAAAAAGGCAAAAGACAATTCCTGCCCTCATGGAGCTTACAATCTGATGGAGGAGACAACAAGCAAATATGTACAAACAGGCTATATGCAGCACAAATAGAAAATAATTAACAGAGGGAATGCACTGGAATTAAGAGGGGTTGGGGAAGGCTGCCTATAGAAGGTAGGATTTTCATTGGGACTTAAAGGAAGCCAAGGGAGGTCAGTAATTGGAGCAGAGGAGGGAAAGCATTACAGGCATAGGGGACAGCCAAGGAAAATGCCCAGAGCTTGAGAGTGTCTTCTTTGTGGAACATTGAGGAGGCTAGTGTCACTTCATGGCAGAATTTTTGTAGGGGTCTAAAGTGTAAGAAGACTGAAAGGGTAGGAGAGAACTAGGTAATACAGGATAGTGCTGTGAATGCCAGACAGAATTTTTTTTTTATTTGATCTTAGAAGTTATTGGAAGCCATTGGAGTTCTGGAATTGTTATTAATCTTTATGTTGATCAGATTGTTTGTCTTTACAAAGTTGATGTTATAAATTGTTCACTTCATTCACTCAGCGTTAGTCCAAGTGTATCTTCCCAGGGGTCTCTGAAACTGTCCTTTTCTTTATTTCTTACAATAGTATGCCATTACTTCATATACTATAATTGGTTCAGCCAGACCCTCATTGATGGGCACCCCTTTAGTTTCCAGTTTGTTTGCCACCACAAAAAGAGTTGCTCTAAATGATTTTGTATGGAGGACCTGTTCCTCTTTCTCTGATCTGGTGGAGGGATTTTGACATTGATGCACAGATGAAATCAAAAGTCTGGACAAAAAAATACCCCCCACGCTTAGAAAATAGAAGTGGATTGGGAAGTGTGGCAAGGTAGGCTTAGAGTTAAACCTGGAGTCAAAAACTAGTTCCTTGACCATGGGGAAGTCATTTATCCACTCTTATATTCTTAGTTCCCTAATCTTATTTTTTGAAACTCTCTCTGATGGAGCTGTCTGTAGTGAATGCTTTCCTAACAAATTTGTCTGTAGTGTAGTGCTTTCCAAACAAATTTGAGCTGTTAAATATAGGGAGACAGATTGGACCTGTGATTTCTTTAATATAGAGAACTCTAAGGTGAGGAAAGCCCCTCCACCAGTGAAGTTTGGCACCTTTGCTGCAATTTATATGCCCAGATTACTAAGAGTATAAGTGACTTGTCCACGATCACACAATCAGTATGTGTCTAAGGTGGGCTTGTATAATACAGATCCCTTTGGTTTTGAGGTTGGCTTCTATCCGTTCTTGCATAAATGTCCTGTTCTGGGGCCATTGATTCTGAGCTGAATTAGTAATCCTGGTTTGGTAAAACCTAAAGATACTTATGTTACTATGGAAACAGTTAAGCTGTCCTATATTCTACATTATGTCATCCTCCTGCATGGTTAAGGAAAAGGGAACATTGACTATAACTGGGACATCTGCTGAATACAGAGACATTGGGCAGAGTAAGGGAAGGGGCCAGAAGTGAAAATAGAATTTGCATTTCTAATAAGTAGGCATTTGAAATTTTCAAGTGGTTGTGTTAGGAAGGAAGGGTTTTGCTAAAGGCTGGTAAATACAGTGAAGTCTAAGAGCCACCAGGCCCTCCTCCCCACCTTTTGTATTTGTGAA